AACTGAATGACTCATTCTGCTATACTAAATGCTGGGTAAATAAGCTTACTTAAAAATTAATCTCTTTGTTTTTAGGCCTATTCCATACCACTTCAGAAAAATACTTGTGTTTATGAAATGTTTTTTGAGGACAAAATTGTACCATTAATACAGAAAAGCCAAGAAAGTGGTTGTTCAGAGGTTCTTTCCCTTTCCAGATTTGTCTGCAAGAGGAAAAATACCATAGATGAATGACGAAATAAATCTAGGCAGCACACTCTTGGAAATACCCACTAGACTCGGATTGAGAAATCAGAAGTCTTGCTTTATGATGTTACCAAACTTTGCTGAAAGTGTGCTGCAGGGGAGTTGTATGCATTGATTGCAGTTTGCAGTAAAGATATCACTCTACTAGCCATGGTTAATTATGGAGCTTTTAAAACAGTCAGTTTCCTTGTGGATACACCATCTTTTTCTGCAACGTTTGATTGGATTAGAGATCTGAAATACTAAAGCTGTAGGAAGTTAGAAACAGATTACTTGTTTGTCATTGTTTCAGAATGCCAAAGAAGAAATTTAGGACAGATGACAAAAATTAAGAAGACAGCCACCAGTTGTGGAACATTAAACTCTTAACAGGAGGAAAGAATTTGTTGTTTTCCTGAATTATCTTGCTGCTGCTTTAGTTTCTCAGTGCTTATTTTCCTGCTCTGAGGTTTTAATAAGAATAAACTGTAACCCCTTTTGCAACAATTTTTTCCTAATACCTAATCTAAACCAGCTCTGGTGCAACTTGAGGCCTTTTATCTTGTCTTATCTCTTGTTCCTTGCAAGAAGAGACTGTCACCCACCTGTCCACACCTCCTTTTAGGTGGTTGTAGAGAGTGATAAGGTGTCCCCTGAGCCTCTTTTTTGCTAGGTTAAACAACCCCCTTTGCAAAGGAGAGCAGAAAACAGATATGTTTAGCTAGATGCTTATCATATTGTGTCCATATGAGTAAGTTCCAGATGAATACATAATCATAAAGAGACTGGAAAAACATTTTCAGAGCTCCTTCTCCATCCTTGGATCAAAATTACAAAAATAATTTTAAATCTTTAATTCTTGAGTTCTCTTTTGGAAACAGTGGATTCTAATTCTTGAAACTGGAGTCTGTAGAATTCAGTGTAGGGATGTAGTTGAAATGGAAGCTATAGTAATCATTTCAACAAAGTTTTGCAAGCATATAGCTTTCAATTGAACACTGTGTACTTCAGTTTCCCTGGTTTTTAGTTTGTTTTTTTAGGGTCAGAGAATGCATTTTAAAAAGGATTTTGTAATGTTTCTCAACTGTGATATTAAATCCAAAATAGTGGCACAAGAGTGCCACCAGCTGGTTTAATAAAACACATGTATTTATTAAACATAGAGTTTTGCAAGAAATGTAGCAAGATAATTACATGCACAAGTCCTCAGTGTGCTCTTACTGCCCTTTTTTTGGTACTAAGATAAGTTATTCTGCTGTACAAACTTTGAGTGAATTATGTCTTTGAATGTAAGATAGTGTTTAACAAGAAAGGAAGTTTTCTATTTAACATGTTTAAGGCATGTGAACAGGAAGATAAAATACTTCAGAAGATCACTAGGTCATCTTTCTTATAATTCCCACCCCAGTTGTTGATCATTATTTTTAAACTGTCAGTATAAATAACGTATGTGACACCTTTGAGACTGTATTGTACTGTTTTTAAATTCTGGATGCCTGTTTTCTCAGCCCTTACCTTAAAATCAGAGGAATTAGATGCAACTCAGCCTCTTAGCGATGAAACTTAATCTTTCTAAATTGATAAAACACTTAAAACTCTAAAAACACTTTTCTGTACTAAGTGATCATCAAACATTACAAGAAAATAGATCAGTGTTCAGATTTTGCAAAAATATGCAAGTGGAATTGAAGAAAGGAGGCCATGCATATACAGCATCTTACTTGAGAACCAGTGGGCTCCTGCCATGGCAAGATGGGCTACATGGCATTCATGCTTCAGATCTTAGCTAGGCAGCTCAGCTCATCACCTCTTCTTAAAGGCGTTTCTCAAAATCCAGCCGTCAGCTCTTTTCTGTAAAAAACAAATCTAATATGCTCTATTATCCAGTGATAGTTTAGTTTATGGAATTGGAATTGGTTTTATATCCTAGGTGAATATTAGGTGAGGCACTGGGGGAGAGACAACTTTGTTGTTAGAGCTTGAGTTCTCATTGTTGTGGCAGAAGCAGGTGGAAGAACAGATGCTTTTCATGGTGGAAGACTAGAAATGTCTCCCTAGGAGTAATTAATATTTTGGTTTTCCTGGATTTGATTGCTGTTCTTTTTAGTCTAGTGAAGTACCTGGGGCAGACAAGTAGGTTAATTTGTTTGTCAAGATCAGGCGTTTATATTGTCAGGGGTTTAATACATATTTCAAGTCCTTACATAGAGAGGAAGAGTGGGCTGTCTGGATCCTCTGTGTGAACCATTGTGATTGTACCATCTAGAACAAAATAATAAAATATTTATCTTCCCCCAAACAATGGAATATTCTAGGAGCAACATCTGTTTGCCTCAAAGCTTGATGTTTGAGCTGAAGTCTTTCTTTGAAATAGACTAAATGCTTTAAAATTGGATTGTGAAAGTAACACATTGTTCTAAAATGAAATTTAATTTATCTACTAGTTTGTGCACGCCAAACATTTAAACATTTTTGTGTTTTGTGTGTAGTTACTGTTTAGCTGGGCTATAATTTCTAGAACTTGGTCTTTCCTGTTGCTTTGCTGCTTCTGCTCATTCTAACTTTTGGGTATGTGCAGTACTGCAGAATTTGTTATAGGGTAGGAAGAAGCCCTGCACAAAAAATGTCTGGAAAAGAGCTGTTGCCTTCCTGTTTCTAGGCATGTGAGATCTGCAGCTCCAATTCACATAGGCAGTTGTCATCACAGTGGTGTTCCACATTTTACTGGCCAACCCCTATTCCCGTAAAATATCATTATCAAAGTGTCAAGTGGCTGTTGTGTGGTAAGAAGGATATGACATTCCCATTTTTGGGTGGAATTTCCTTGGTGGAGATAATGTTGTTAAATACAAGATAGCAGCAGCCAAGATGACTAAGAAGGTTAATTGGCCTACCTTGACCTTCCCTGTTGGAGAAATATTCTCCAGCAAATAGTATTTCCTTTAAGGAGAGATTCAATATCCTGTATTTATTGACACTATTGTTGGCTTACAGGCTAAGACAGAAGTTACCAAACTCTTTTTAAGAGGAGGCTGCAAGTGTACATTGTCGTATTCCTTCTACTGCAGTGCTCCATTCACCAAGAAAGTGATCCATATTAATCAGTGCATGATGACTGACAAGAACTCTATGAAGAAACTCTTAAAAAATTTCCTTGAACTTGTCACTGGGTTTTTATGTATACTTTTGGGGTTTGGACTGAGGCAGCCCATTTTATTCTGCAAGTTGTGTAGCAGTACATTGTAAGGAGACCATCCTAAACTGACTCTGTGGGAAGTTAGAGCCTCTGTGTAAGAAAGAATACAATTCAGCATGACTGTGAATAATTATACCAGGTATTACAAACCCTCAGTGTAGTTTGAGCTGGGCAGCACTGCTGTGTGTCTAAAACATATGATATAAATACAGACAGTGCTTAATATGCAAGCAGAAAAATAATTTACTCTGTAACATAACCTGTGTCTATATTAGTAGCTAAACACCCAGGTGGAGCTTTGGCTGGAGCCTGGGTTTAATTTCAGATGCTGTGTAGAGTCTTCCCTGAGGTGCAACTTCTAAAGCCTCCTTGAGATCCTAATTGCTCATCCCAGCATGTGGCAGTCACATAAGTAAACTCTCCCTGCAGGAATTGTATTCTCCAAAGTATTTGACATTGCTTTGCAGGAAGTTTTGGACGTGGGCTCTTCATTTTTTTTTATACTATACCTTATTGTGGCACTGAAGAAGAGGTGAGATTCTGTATTGCTAATTACTAAACAAGAGTATAGTAGGCATGGATAGTTGTCATGCCTTGTTCTGTATAGTGTTGAAACAAATAGGGCTGAGACAATTGTAACCACATGAGACAAAACTTGCAGGATGGTGGTGGTACGCAGGTTTACTTCATGCTCTTTTAATTTGTTTAAATGCTCTTGTTAAGTGCCACAGTACTAGTCTGATTTCCTTAGCAGACTGGACTGTGTGGTTCTGCAAATCGCTGCATGATGATGGTTTTGTTGCCTGTAGCAGGTGCTGGAGAAGATAATCCCTGGGATCTGTCATTACCTGATTTCTGAATTTTCTCTACTTGCTGCTTCCCCTTTTCTGAGTTTGCTTCCCATTTTGAAAACAGATGAAAATATATTTTCTGCTAATTTATCTTCCCAAGGGAAGCACGGAGATTTGTGATTTTATAATTTGGACTATACAAGAGAAGAGAGACTTAAGTAATTTTAAAAAAAAGGGCGTGAATTTTAAGTTAGGTTGGTTTATTGTTGTGGAAATATCTTTCTTCTTTAAGAATGAGACAGCAACCCACATAGAAAGCATAAAACTAGGATGTCTCCCAGATGACCAATTTATAGTGGCTCTATGTTTGTGTAGTGAAAGTGGAATGTTTCATTTTAGAAGACTGGACAGGATTTTGAAAAGCATTGTAAGAGTGTGTTTTCTTGCTTTTAGAGTTCTAAATGTCTTTACAAATAAGTTTTCTCTTGCAGAAAGGACACCAGTGGCAGGTAAGCAAAAGTTCTCTTAATTCTGTTGTGTGACATTTTGTACAGAAGAAGATTAAAATAGTGTGTTTTATTAGTGGCTTGTGTAAAAGCACAAATGCTTTTACATCAGCGATTCAGGCTCAGTATTTGGGAATGTTCATGTTTTTATGGGAGGGGAAAAAAGTGATGATGTAGGGTTTTTTCTTTTTAACTCTGCTTTATCTTCTGTAATCAAGAAGCCATAAAATTACTATACTGACTTCCTCTGACTTATGTTCTTTCTCTTTCTTTCTGCACAAGCATTCCTATTTGGACAGGGAAACCTCCCTTCTTCTGAGAAACATTGCAGGAAAGCCTTCTCATTTGCTGACCAAGGTGATGATGCTTCTTTCTACTGCATGTGACTGTTTCTGTGTAGAAAGAATGCTTTTGGTGTGTGCTATGCTTCTCCACTCCTGCCCTTTCCAGGAACTTCTGCATTTACTTACATGATTTTCCTGATTATCCAGGTGCTTTTAAAAGATTGAATTGTGTTGTATGTTTCTGCAGATTTATCAAAGTGTTCAAGTTCTTAAATACTTAATAGCCACATTAGCAGGTAAAATGCCTTAGTTGAAAAGGAAATGTACTGAGCTCAAAGTTCTTTTGTTCCTATTGCCATTCACTAGTTTTCAAAAAAGAAAAGATCCTACTAAAAACGTGGGAGTGTTTAGTAGTTTAATAAGCCATTAGTAGCCTTAAAATAAGTTCTCTTGCTGTATTGAAGATGAACTAGTAAGTAATGGGATATTTTTTTAACATTTTGAATGTTGACTGAATATAATATGGGGAGAATATTGTAGTAAGACAGCGGTCTAATGAGCCAGATATGTACAAATCTTGATGATAAATTAATCTTCTTCACAGCAAGGAGGTCACTAATGTACCAAGTGATCACAAATTGTCATTCAATTTGCTAAAAATTACATCTTTTATATGTGTTTCCTTCTGAAACTAGAGGACAAGGGATGGAGCAAGCTATAGGTGTCTGGTGAAAACACAGGCTAGGATGAAGGGCTAACAGTTTCATGTAGCTGTGGTGTCAGATGGTGCTGATGCTAATACATACTTCAAAAGCATATCTGTGTGGGTATTTTTTAATTCACAGACATTCTACTGGAGAGACCTCAGGGAAGCCTGAAGTAACAAATTCAATTTGGTGATCTCAAAACAATGAGGATGATGTTCACTGGGCATAAGTAGTCTGTATTTAGCAATAAAATTTAGTACTGCTTTACTGCTTTTTTAAAAATATCTAAATATTCTTCTCAAGATGCTCGGCATGTATCTTGACAACACATTTTCAGGCTGTCTTCCAGAGGAGTACAAACAGCCAAAAGCAAGTAATCTTCTGCTCTTGCGATTGTTTTGCTTAAGTTTTAAGTCCATACCTCTGCCTTGACCCCAATAGCTCTTGGCTCCCCTGCACTGCCCAACAAAGCAAACAGCCACCAAAACAGCAATTGGCTTGATTGCAAATAGATTAACAACAGCTGTGGCACAAAGAAACCACAATTTTCTTTCATCTCCATGTGTCTGCAGATCCTCCCTTCTGGTTGTTTATATGTGGGATGAGTGTTAGTTACCATAGAGGAAGTTAATTTTTAAAAGTACAGTAAATTATCCCTTTGTGTCATATGACCATGGAGTAGCTCCTCTCAGGTATTCTAGTACACTCCACAGTTAAATGAATTTATAAATCCTTGTGTTGGCTTAATTAGGCTTCACAGCTCTTTGATTCAGGTGCTTTTGGTGAGCCTTCTGATTTCCTGAGGCTAATGTTGGTGAGCTTGTGACTGTTTCGGTACAGCTGTGCCTTCTTCTTCTGACTCCTGAGCACACAGGCTGGCATGGCACTTACTGTTCTCTTCTGACCTCCTGCAAGCAGAAATACCTTTAGCAAAATGATGAAATGGAAGTCCCCGTTACTGCTTAGATCTCTTCAGCTTGTTGTAACATTGGATAAGGCTCTCTATGAGTGAAGCAATCCCAGGAAATGGGGCATTTCCTTGTACCAAGGTGTTAGATCATTTGACTGTAGGATCATATCGCAGGTCTGTGCTGGTGTCCCTGGTGTGTCACCTGTTTCTTACTGTCTTCACCTGTTTCTGTTTCTTCCCCTTCTCTGGTGTGTCTGCATCTTATATTGAAACTAGAACCATTTTTGTCCTCTGCTAATATAAGTAATTCTAAAAATTCTGGCCGTGGACTAGATCCCTTCTGCATCACAGCCATGCACACACACTGTCTTGAAGTTTTGGGTGATTGGTGCAAATGGAGATGTTAATATGGTGTTCTCTGGTAGCAGGAACCTCTGATTCAGTACAAGCTCTGCAAGGAGGAGATTCCTTGCAAAACATGATTGCTTTTCTACCCAAGGCTAGACTGTAGCTGGGAAAATAAACAGTAGATACCTGATCTTAGTCCTTCAGAAGTCAGTGCTACATGTGTATTTATTATCTTCTTATCTGCAACCAAAGAAAAAATTCAGAGAAAAAAAGCAAATACTAAACAGAGAAGAAATTTCTTAATTTTATGCATTTTGTAGGTTGTGTATCTACCTTGCTGACTTAAATAAAATGTGGACATAGTTACTTACCTCTTACCATTTAATTACTGGCTTTTCTAAGTACCTTTGTTAAGTGATGCTCCCCTCCCATTTTGTTTCCATTCCATTTGTTATCTCTGTAAAAGAGATTAGTTAAAAACACTTAAAAAAAAAAGGTAAAATAAAACCTCAACCTAGAAATGCGAGGCAAAAAATTTTTTGAGCAAGGTCAGCTCTGCCATTGAATGCATCTTGCACGTCTTTATTATTAAAACACAGATGGAATATCAGAGCAAAACTGCATATTTAGTTGGAAACTGGGGGAGGAAACAGTGTTTGTCATGATATTGCAGAAATCTTAGCTTTATATTTTTTGTGTTATTCTTTCTGGTATTTCAATGTAGGCTAAAATTATTCAAAACTTAAATGCAAAGAAAATCATTAATTTAAGACCATTGCACTGCAGACATATGTATTTTCCATTTTGGTTCCCAATAAGTTTGAATATTTTGGATTAACAGATTCTATACATAAGTATGTTGCCAAGTATTCCTTAAATCAGGTGCAATGTTTTCCATAACCAAAAGTAATCTTAGCTGAAAGCTTTAAAATACAAGTGTGACAGTAGTCCCAGAGTGGTCCTGTTAAGTGAGGAATTTGTTACAATTGGACAATGTTGCATATTGCTACTAGAAGAGAATATCCTTTTCCTGCCAAAGTGGAAATGACTCTCCATTATGTTTTGTGTTTTTACAAAGTGTGTGTGTGTGTGTATCTCCTTGGTGTGTTTCCAAGGCTTGCCTGTGCCTGTAAGGCAGTCCAAGCAGGGAGTGGGTTCTGCTTGAACCTTGCCTGCCGTGCCAGTTCTCCAGGTCAGTGTGTGACGGAGCCGTGTGCCAGCAGCGCTGAGTGCAGGGGACACGGGCGTGTGGCCATGGCAGGGACTGGTGGCTGTAGCGTCTGTGAGGCTGTGACAGCACAGCATCCTGCCCTTTACCTGCCTCTTTGGGATCCTTCAGCAGCTCCATCACTCTTGGCAGCATTTGCTACCAAAGGGGAAATAAATGCATAAGGTAGATGTGGTTGGACTGCATGTGCTGGCCTTGTTGGTTGGTGGCACTGAACAGTTTAAATAGTTTGCACTTGCAGTCAGGTGTTTTTGCCATCTGTCACCTGTCTCCCTGTGCAGTGAAAAGAGTTGTTAGCTTATTAGTACAAGCTAAATGACGACATGTGCTTCCTCCTGGATAGAAGCAGTGTTGTTTTCATGTACAGGGGGAGGAGAGACCTGTGTATGTGTCTAAGTGCTGTTATCAGGTGACTTTGATGGGCAGGGGACTGTTTTCTTGGGCCATTAGGAGAGAAACAGAATACATGGTTGTCAGTTTTGGGGAGTTATTAAATTATTTTATTAAGAAATCAAAATGCATAGTTCTTCATCCTTCTCCCATGAAACATTGTTTGCCACATTAGCAGTGATGCAGCAGTGCCCTGAGCTTAGTGTATTACTGCTCAAAATAGTTTAAAATCTTTGACTACTGTATGCTTTCAGACATTCTGAATTTTTGCTGTCTTTTCCTTGCTGTGTTTTCCAGTTAGTGAATTCAGACCTCTTTTTATAATTTTTTGCTCATTGGAACAAGTTATTATTTTGATAGTTGTAATTCTGTTTTGTTTTGGGGTTTTTTAATTTAAACTGATTATGTTGAACTAATAAAGTATAAGGAATTATAATCTCTGGACCCACATGAAATTGAGTAGGAAATTAAAAGTAATTGGTACATATTAAAATAGTAAGTCCTTAAAATCTTCTTTGGTCTACATATTTATCTATTTTCCAAAGCATTTTAGGTAATGATGGATTATAAACTTTAAGGTCACCAAAGATATTTTAGCTGTATTGGCACAGGTATATGAGAGGTGACAGCTGCTTTTTGCTTGCCCTGGTGTTGCTGCCTATGCACTGTGGTGAGCAGGTGCTCCTGGTGCTTTGCACTGGTGTACAGTGAAATGGGCTGGAAAATTGTGCTGATTGGGTTAATGAGCAGCTTCTCAAACCCATGAATTAGAGTTTCTCCAAATACATGATAAAATGAGTCTTTTGCTTTTGCTTGTTTCATGATGAATAGGTGCATAGCATCACTTTTAGAAACTGGAAAGTCTTTCATAGAATCACTGAGTAAGCTCAGTTGGAAGGGACCCCCAAGGGTCATTGAGTCCAACTGCTGGCCCTGCATAGGACAACCCCAAGAGTCCCCCCATGTGCCCGAGAGCATTGGCCAAGTGCTTCTTGAGCTCTGTCAGGCTTGGTGATGTGAGGCCTCACTTTTTAGTAACAATTTATTTCTACAGATTGAAATTGTTAATGGTAAGAAATAGGAAGAATAAAAGATTCTTGTTATTGTGGCATGGTTTGTTTTTCATAGAATGCTAATGTGATTTGGCCTTTCTAAGCTATAGAACAGCATTGCTCTTGTGAATAAAAAGCTGTAGTTCCCTGTAGACTCATAAACGCAATGTTCCAGTGTAATTCAGTGCCCAGATAAGGTTTCAGGCTCACATTATTTCTGCTCATGTCAACTTACTCCAACTTACTGCTTCATTTTATTGCAAAGAGTTATATTTCAAGGCAGCATACTGGTCTGTCCAGCTGATGTTTTTTTATGGTGCACAGGATGGTCACAGATGTGAAGAACCAAAAGCTACTAAGAGTGCAGTAAATAACAAGGGAATGTCCTTTAGCAGTTGATATGAATATTAATAATTTATTGAGAAGCCAACTTAAGCTCTCTGGATTTCAGAATGGCTGAATCTTTTACAGTAAAAGCAACTTATGTAAACACATGGTAAGGAAACTATGAATTACACCCATAGAAGAAAGCAATAGAGAACTAAATGTTTATAGTATGCAGAATGTTATGGTGAGATGTGGTACTTTGGTCCTGGAGAAAATATTAATTCTTCTTTTTTAAGGATACTGAATATTTTGGAAGGGATTTGTGTGGTTTTCAGTAGACTTGTTTGTGCTAGAGATTTTAATTATGGTTTTAGATATTAATTACCATGAAGATCCACAGTTTAGGATTTTGAAAGTCTGAAAATTCCATATATCATTTTTGAAACAATGGTTGCTTTTTAGCTGCATGTTTCAAATGCAATTTCAACAGGAATATCTGTAATCTCCAGAATTTAAGAAATTTTATTGCTAGTCTTAGAAAGACACAGTTTTCTTTAGCATCAGCAAATAGATTTAAGCTACCTGAATTTTTAATGCTTTTCCAATTGTAATAAAAATCTATTACATAGAAGAGCAAAAGAATGCTTATTCATCTTGTGTCTTAAAATACTTAAAACAAGGAGAAATACAATTTGGATTTAGTAAATTCAAACCTCTTTCTGCAAATGGATTTAACAGTTTAAAATCTTTCAAACTAATGCATGTAGTATGGAATCCTAGCTATAGTATTTGTTTCCCTTCTTTCTGTGTGCTGTTAAATTCGGGTACTTCTTGGCATGCTGTTTGTGTTTTATGTTGATCAACCAAAACTCTTTTGGCTGTACTCCATTGTATACTCTTACTGAATATGTATCGTCCCAAGCTATGACTGTAAATATATAATATGCCAAAGTATTTAGTAGCATAAGGGTATTTACAGTACAGGAGAACAGAGAAATGTCTATACAAAATATATACCTCCACTATGTTCCTTTGGAGTTAATGGCAGTTGTATCTCTAAATATAGGAACACTTTCTGTCTTTAAAAGTAATGCTTTTCATCATCACTAGGAAATAGTTGGACATTTATAGATGAGCAAATCAGCATTTCAGTTCACTTTTTAAAGCATGGTAGCCTCAAAGCTACTGCAACCTGACTGAAGTTTGTGTTAACTGGAATTGTGTGTTGTGTCCCCATAGGAGGAACAGGCTGCTAAACTGAAAGCTGAGAAAATTAGGGTTGCATTAGAGAAGATTAAAGAAGCACAAGTGAAAAAGGTGAGTTAGTTATACCCATTTATAAGACCCTTATTTTATTTTTTTTTCACCTGGAAAATGCAGGCAAACTTCATTTGTATCTATTAGCCTTAAGTTGCCCTTTATAAAATCAGAACACTATAGTGTTCTAATCTTTAGTGGTAATGTGCTTTCCCATCTAGACTGGACCTAATCAGGAGAAGCCTAGGATATGGAATAACATGATGTTTTTCTTAAGGAATAGCTTGTTTTTCAGCTAGTGCTCATTGTGAAGATTTTACCAACTTCCACCCAGAACTGAAATGAAGGTCCAGCCTCCTGAGATTGTTCTTGTATGTTCTGCAGTCGCATGTTTAAAATTTGTACCTGTTTTCTTCATAGCTTTTTCTTCACAATTCTTTTCTCATTATGCATAGCAGGATTTGCCAGTGCTAAATTGAAGAGAAGTATTCCAGACTAAAGACAGAGGTTACCAAATGGAGAAAGCCTGCTGCCATTACTTGATGTACTCTCAAAGAATACAGAATGCCCTGCAAATTTAGCATTTTTGTTTTATGACAGGAGTTTTTCAGTAGCTTAAAATGCCTTTTTCATTGATTGTTTCTGGATCAAAAGCTGAAAAACTCTCTTTGCTGGAAGATGGAAATTAACAAGTCAATTGTACCAATGTATTACAGCTAGAGGTTTTATCTTTTCCAGCTGAACAAGATGTAAAAATGGAAAAAATAATGATTGGCAAAAAGAATGTTGTTTTAAGTCTTTTGATTAGTTTAAAAAAACGGCTCCCTATGAAAAACCGTTGTGTTTTAAAAGCAGGTTTTTTTCACACTGCTTCATATTCCCCAGAAAAGTAAGGTTTAGTATTGCTGTATTGTTTACATAATAACCATTTTTAGAAAATACTGTAGGAAGCAGGCAGAAAGCTTAAACTGCACATCTGAAAAATTCTGATTCTTTGTAAGCTTGTGCAGAGCCCTATATCTATGTTTGTTCTACCTAGATATTGTCTGAAAGACACTTTATTATCAGGACACTTCAGCAGGAAGGATTTTTTTCCTTCTTAACACACAACTGAAGGACTTTCTCATTGTGTTGGAAAGACCTTTATATTTATTTACTTGTGCTGTAGGAGAACAGTGTCTTGTTAATTGTCTGTGGTAAAAATATCTACCCATCATTTATGACATCTTACATTTTCAGGGAATGTTTTGATTGAATTTTATGCTACTGTAAGAAAATCTTAGAGGAATAAACAAGATCTTAGAAACCTTATTTTTATTTGAAATGTGACAGATTAATCTTCTTTTTGTTTTCTTATTTTTCTGCTTAACAGTTGGTGATCAGAGTCCATATGTCTGATGACAGCTCAAAAACAATGATGGTGGATGAGAGGCAAACAGTGAGACAAGTATTAGACAATTTGATGGATAAATCACATTGTGGCTACAGTTTAGATTGGTCATTAGTGGAAACCATCTCTGAATTGCAAATGGGTAAGTAATAATTATAAGCATTTCTAATTCTTATTCATAGATGCAGCAGTAGTCTGCATTCTCAGAATGATTTAAATACTTGTCTTCATAATGTTCATCATCGTGTTCATTAATGTAGTAAATGCTAATTCATGTAATAAAGCTCATGATTGAATTTGTTTCAGAATGATCTGAAAATTCTACTTCAGGGTGTTTAAAAGAATGAGAAAGTTGGTCCAGTGGTTTCCCAAAGATATCTCCTTCTTTATTGTGCAATGAGGATTTTCAGCTATTTTCTACCATTTCAGTAAATTTTCCTCTTTTTCTTTATGCTGTTCTCTTTTGTCTATTTTCAGTATTCTGAAGTTCTAGCACTAGTGGTAACTTTTTCAAAGCTCAGAGCTTTGAGAGTCAAAGCTCAGAGGTTTGACTGAGAACCAGAGTTCTCAGAGGTGTTGTTGATATGTCATTTATTGAGTGACAGAGATCATAGGAAGTAGAAGTGTCAGTTTTTAGACTTCTTTACAATATCTGTACTAGCTATGGATATTCTGCATTTCAGAAGCATTTTCTTTTCCTTCTGATCATTGCCCACTACTTTTTGATACTTTATGAGTGAGATAATCACTGGGGATGTAGAAAGAAGTATTGTGCCAAAAAAGGTGCCTGATCCATTCCTCTGGGAATTATGTAGACCAGAGAACACAAAAATGTGATAACCTTCTTATTTGTGCTCATAAACTTTGAAATGTTATCATTTGAGTCTGCAGTGTTCCTGCAGGATGGTAGGCCTTCTCAGATTAAAAAAAAAAATTAAACATTTCATATGTTGATGGAACTATAAACTTGAAGATACAAGTCCATGCTGAGTGACTGGATGTAAAAAAATGCCGCTTCCAGGCATGCCTGGAAGTGGACTAAGTTCTTTTAGTCTCTTAGCAATAAGCTTCTCCACTGTAGTAGATCTTGAACTCTATTTTCTCTGCATAAATGCCTTGTCTCTTAGAAATGACTACAGATTAGTTTCTATCACAAAATGCAACAGATTCCAATGTATTTGCTCACATGTTATTGTTCCAGAACGAATCTTTGAAGATCATGAAAATTTAGTTGAAAATCTCTTGAACTGGACAAGAGACAGTCAAAACAAACTAATGTTCGTGGAACGTATAGAGAAATATGCACTTTTCAAGAATCCACAGGTAAGCCTGCGATTTGTGCTGAATGTGTGTGTGGCTGATGGCAGTTTCTTACTTTTTTGATAGCATTTATTTCTATACTTTCATTTTGGTACTTGTGTATGTGCTAAAATGCCAGGCAACTTTACACTTCAGCACTATGTACATCCACAGTGTTGTTGGCACAAAGTCAATCCTTAAGAGGCAACCATGAGCCGAAGCAATCTGTTTGCTAATGGGTTTGTGAGTAGTTTTAATGCACATGAAGGCAGGCAGTTTCCAGAGATTTACACCCATGCTTAATGCTGCTCAGTTATGTAAACATGCAGGAAAGGTGTTGACAGATATTGCTAATAGTAATGTCTCTCCACTGTGCATTCTTGCATTGCTGGCAAGAAGGGGAAGACAAAATCTTAAGAGAACAGCCACTCCATGGTCAAATGACAAGAGTAGAGAAGACAGCATGTGCTCCTTCTCTGCAAGTTGGGACCTGCCTATATTCACTTGTGTTTCCTGCTCCTAGCTGGGAAAACAAAGGCTTCTCTTCCTCTCAATTGGCCTCAGAGACCTCTCTTCTCTCAAATGGTAGCTACAGACCTGGTATCTGCCAGCACTGCAGTATTGTAGGGGAGTGGAGGAAAAGAAACAGAAAAACAGAAGGTGGCTCTTGGAAGAATTTGCATTGAAAATTCACTTGATCTCTTGTCTGTAATATCACTTGATCTCTGTTTTAACTCTTACCTAATATATTCCCTTTTGAGTTTATAAATTATTTTTATATCTGTATGGCATCTATATGCTAATTTATTTGATTTAAACTGAGTATCAGTTTTGCATGTTCGTCCTATGGGACATCAGTTTACTTGATTTTATTCCTTTTTACACAAGATCTGAAACCCAGTCTTACGCAAGTGCTTTGCACTGAAGCAGCAAAACTCTACATTCTTTTTAAAAGTTTGTAGATTATAGGTTTACTCTCAGCACTTATAGTAGGCACTGTCACAGTAGTGAGGTACCAGCATAAACCAAATATTTCTCCTTGTTTTAAAATATTGAGCTGGCAAAACTTTGGCAAAACCCAAATGAATGTTTGGGGTTTTTCCAGTATTAGCCTAGGGAAGCCTTAGGAAGATGTTTTTCATTGCCCCAGTCTTTTCCAAACTGAATAAGAGTAAAAAACTTATTAAATAAGATATGGTGCCTGTGCATAATTAAGTTCCTTTTAAGAAGCTGACAAGTATTTTATTTAGAATTTATTATTATTTATTTAATGGCTTCGATGTGTGCTTCTTTGAATGCAGAAATAATGACAGTATGTAACAGATCTCAGGAGATTTTTTATATTTTTATTGTGGTATTTACAAGTTCATAGTATTTTTATATCTGGATGCATTGTAACAAACAGCTGTTTGATCCTTAGAAAAGCAGGATGATGTTGTTATGAGGCTGTTAGGTAGGAGTATGGACTGATTGATATTTCTGGTAAAGGTGATTATAAGCTACTTCAGTGTATTATTTAGCAGTCTGACAGTTTCAATTAGTCTACAAAGTTTTGTTACTGCTACAGAAAAGTAAACAAGAAACGCCATTTAGCTTGATTTCAGAATGCCTAAAGAAATATTAAACTTTATTTTGTTACAGAACTATCTTCTGGGGAAGAAAGAAACCTCTGAGATGGCAGACAGAAATAAAGAGGTGCTACTAGAGGTAAGAATGTCAAACCGGAAATGACAAAGTAGTCATTTTAGAGCATGAAGACAAACTGCTAAAGGTTGTGGTGACTGAAATTGATGGACAGAGCAGAATGGAATTCTGGAACTCTGTAAATGGAATGTGTTCTCTTTGAGCTAAATGGCTGTCTTAATGTAACACTGCTTCAGATGTGATCAGTTAAAAAAGTCTCTGCACTTAGTTTAGTATCTGAAATACCATACACAGTGATAATCAAGTTGAGATTGCCTCTAGCTATGGCTAAAACCATTAATTTCAAGTTGAGATTTGCAGACCTGTGACCTGTTTTTTGTGACCGTTTTTTTTGACCTGTGGTGCTAGAGAATTTTTACTAGCACTTTCCAAACCCTCAGTTCTACAAAATTCTAGAGCATGGTTCTGGAGACTGGTTTAAATTAATATTTCAAATTTTGATAATAAGCGAAGCAAGTTTTAAGTAAAATTTTAAGTGAAAATTTTTTCAATTATATTTTAAAATTAAAAAAAACCCCCAAATTATTGAATTTTAAGAAATGCATGACAGAAGTTATTATCAAACACATTAACCAGTTTACAGAAATAAGGCATAAAAGTGTGGAACAAATAAAGCACACAGTAAATATAGCCTTCATAAGCTGAAAACTAAATACTTCTGTGGCATGGCTGAAGTGCCATAGGTTCCACTTGATTTCCAGAATAATGATTATGATTTACATAGTTACCCAAAGGTAAATATTTAGGGTATTTAATTTTGAGTTAAACTTAACACAGTTTATCTTAAAAGTAGCCTATGCATATTAGTAATGTATTGTTAATATGGGTTTCAATAAGTGTATGTATGTATACTTAGGTATGTATACATATGTATATAAGTGTATGTATCTATGTGTGGATGAAAAAATTGTTCGAAGCCACAATATGCAGGGAATTGTAATTCTGCTTAACTCTTTCTGTCTTCTAAGATTATTCCTAAGTCTCTACTGCATATTAATCTGGAGTGTGTTTAAAGCATTTGTTTTTCTCTGCTAGTTCTTTATAAATAGAACGTTAGCAGAAGTTGCAGTGTTGTGGAGAGTTAGTAGCAGTGAAGTACTCCTGGAATGAATTGCAGCTGTGTCGGATGGATGCACAGTTAGGTTTGTGTGTGCTTATACATATGAAGCTATATAAGGTGACCTTGTGACCTTAAAGCCAGTAAAGCCATGGGGGGATCTATTAGTGAGAAACAATGGTCAGAAAATCTTTACAGTAGCTGCTAATGATTTTTCTGTCATTGTTGCACTGAGCAAATGTTGAGACACCCTATCATGCTTGTCTGAATTGCCTCATTGCTTCTGTAATTTATCTGTAGTTCATATCTCATGTGAAAAAGATCTGTTCCTGCTACAAGTGCATTCCTTGGATAAAGAATTTCAGTCATTCAAAACAAACCACTGCCTGCTCTCTGTTCTGTCTGTTTCCCAAACTGCTTTGTTTATTGGCAGGAATGCTTCTGTGGAAGTTCTGTAACTGTGCCAGAGATTGAGGGAGTTTTGTGGCTGAAAGAGGATGGTAAGAAATCATGGAAGAAACGTTACTTCCTTCTCCGGGCTTCTGGAATCTACTATGTCCCTAAAGGGAAGGCCAAGGTATGCTATTTAAAGCAGTTGCTCTGAATTGTTCATTGCTGGTAAACAGTGCACACAAGAGTTGGCTTTAAGTTTTGGCTTAGCTGTGCCTTTCCAAGTGCCATATACCTTAATTAAAATGCTGGCTTTATCATGGAAATACTATATGAATTTTTGTGGCAGCACTTGATGTGAAGGGTGTAACCCCAGTTTAAAAATACAAGAATACAGGGAACTGCTTCTTGTGTTAGTTGTTCAGAAATACTTGAGAAAAAGCTTTTGGTGGAGCTAAGAAGCTGATCTTTGCTGAAGCAGAATTTGGATGGAGGACCAAATTGCTCTGCAGATGTCAATCATGAAGTATCAGACCAACTCCACAATGTCTGCATAATTTCATTATGTTTAATTAGTTCATATAAATGGGACTTTTTTTGGACCAATTGGTGCTGCATTTTTTGAAACAGGTATAGGTAATTCCACTTCTACAGGATCACTTATTGCTGTTCTCTCTATCAGTAATGCAAAATAAGTAGAAAGACACTACAAATACATTACAGCTTCAAGGCTGAACTACTGTGAGTTCAAGTCATCCATGAATCCATCAGTCTTGACAGCATCAGATGATTCCCAGTACAGGAAGTCCACCTCCCACACATCTGGGAATGAAGAGGAAATCTCTATCAGCACAACAGCTCCCTTTAGAGTGAATGCATGTCAGATGTTCTTTCCACAATCTTTTGCTTCATTAAAACAATCTGTATGCAAGTAGCCTGTTGAAATTCTTTGCCCTACACTCAACGCCAAACATTTTTAGAATTCTACTTACAGTCACACTGGAATTAGGACACCTTGATTATTACCAAGGTGAAATATAACCAGCAGCTGATAACTTCCTGATCAACCAGTCATACTTGCTTTCTCTTGATACCTGCTCTGAGTAAACAGTAGTAGTCCAGTGTAAAATGTTGTCAAAAGGCAGAATGCAGAAAAAACACAAAAACCAGACTGAGTTTGGTTTAAAATGCAGGTGTGATGAAAGAGTTTATGCATAGCTGTGTCCCTTTCTTGAGTTGGTAGTTTTTGAATCAGATTGAAACTAATATTTGACCTTAACTAGACCTTATTTTAGTATTGGATCTTATCGTTAGGCTGATTGTGCCAATGTGTGTGGATTTTTGTGAAGATACTTTGTACATGACTGGTTTTGTATCTACTAGGTCTCACGGGAACTCGTGTGCTTTCTCCAGCTCGACCATGTCAGTGTTTACTATGGACAGGACTATCGGAACAAATACAAGGCACCCACAGACTATTGTTTAGTGCTAAAGGTAACACTGCAGCACTTGGCTGTACCTTGAATACACTTTACTTGTTCTCAGCCATCACCTGCTTTTAATCTAATTTTCCTCTAGTTCTTGTATACAGTGTGAACAGTTGTTGCCTGTTCTCTGAGCTGGTCATGACTTCATAAACATTTTCATATTGCCCTGAATTGTTTTATTTCCAGACTTTTGAGTGCCAGTCTATTTAATTGTTCACTACACTCTAAAACATACACTAAAGTCTTCTTTTCCATTTGGCAACTCTACCTTACAGCTGTTTAGGTTCAAAGAGATAATACCCCTTGAAATGCTAATTGCAGGAGTTACCTTCTCAGCGTAAGTCCAGAGTAGTGGAGAAATTAATATTAAAGATTCAAGTCTACCCTTTATGGACCAACCTGAGGGAAAAGGGTGTTGTAAAGGAGGCATCTTCTGAGTTTAAATGACGGGTAGAAAGAACAGTAGCAAAAACTGTTATAAAACCAGTGACCTGATCTTAAATGCATCTAATGACTTGAGTTCATGAAGTTCTTTTAATTGAATCAACACATCTCTTAGTTTCTGTTGACTCCCACAGTGTTTAGAATGGTGTCAGTTCCTGCAAGATAGCTGGGCACCAAGCTATTTTAAAGCAAGCTTTCACTCTGTGTTCAGGCAAATAACATGTCTTCATGGATTTGAAATGGTGCCAGTAACAAGAGATGTTTTTAGTTGCACTTTTCCCCTCCCTGCTCTAGAGCTCATGTGGTGTTGTACATTAGACTGTTTACTGTGCCTGGAGTGTGTGCCTGCCTGTCCACTGCCTGAACAAGGATTTCATTTTCCAGGGGACAGGGCAACATGTCTTTGAGCCCACTGAGGAGACAAGTAATACTAAGTATGGGACATGATATTAGTTAAGAAAGTACATGGCTAAAACTGGAAGTAGTTTCCATATTCTTATAGGTCATTGAATGCAAACGAAAATGTCAGTATTTGTAGGTATGTATAAATTCCTTGAAGTAAATTGATTTTTCTATTTACATGTCACTTTTGTCTATATCATTTGGACAGGTTATAGCAAATTTCATTTTCAGACTTTTTGACCACACAAAGTAGATTTATTTTTTTTTAATTATTGCCATTCTGAGAATCAGATATAATGGTAACATTAGTGAAGACACAAAAATGTGTATAAATTGTCCCTAAGTAAATTAATGGGGTAGCTTTAGTTGGGTAGCTTACACCAAGTGAAGCTGTATTTTCTATGTGGAACTGATGAGTCACCAAATTATTATATTAAGTAGGATTCAGTTCCGCCTTCATCAGTTCTTATAATGTTACATCAATATTTTCAATTAGTACTAATGTATGGGGACCACATAGTTTTAAAAATAGAAATAGAGTCTTGTGCCACAAAGGCTCACTAAGTAAGCTAGGAAGTGTCTCCTTTGGGACAGGTAAATGGCAAGTACAGACTGAAGGCCCAATTCTCTACTGATGTCCGGACTGGATTTGTCTTTATCTTCACTCCTTTGTTTATATCAAAACTTGGTGTGCTCACATCAGGTGCTGTGCTATTGTTAAGTGTAACATTTGTGTTCTAATTTATAAAGTTAACTCCTTGTTCCTAAATACACTGAGAAATTCTTTTATTTCTATATAAGCAAAGTTTTGAACAAGTCCAGAAAGAAGCTGGCTTGTTAGCAAAGTAATTGTATTTGCTTCTGTAGACTCTTCTTTGTTACACAACGTGTATGTGTAGGAGGCTCGTAGTGAAAAATGAAAATAACTATCTACTATCATAAGAAATTATGCTGTATATATTCTCTTTATGGACATAAACATCTTATGTTCTTTTTAAAATAATTGTGTTGGAAGGCAACAGAATAGAATATTCTGAAAAAGCTTAGAAGTTCTTTGATATATGATTCAGACAGTCTTCAGTAAAACTTAGATACCTACAATCCTCTAGCAAAACTCTGTTTTGTCACTGAGCTGTAAGCTAACAGAGGAAATGATAAGAACTGGTCTGTTCAGTTACCGCAACAGCTGAGAAACCTGTACTTTCTATAGCGTGGACCAGAAACAACTGGATAGCACATCCAGAAGTATTTCCAGTGTCTGATTTTTGAAAACCATGTGTTTGTTTCTTGACTGCTGAATTGATAAATACAGTGCCTTTACTTTTTTTTATACATGTATGTGGGAGCAGCAAGTATTTTTTTTAGATTATAATCCTGTATCAGTAAGGTGGCAACCTTGAAGCCTTCTTTCTACAAGGTGAAAATAGAATTGTGCTTAACAGCATGTCATTTGGGGAATGTCTCACTTAAGCCTGCAAAGGCAGAGAAGACCAGTGTGTTTGTTTTCCTCTAGTTTGGGGTATTTTATGTGAGAGAAAGGTGAAATATCGGTTGTCTCTGTCAAGTGGTGAGTCAGTCCATAGGTACAGAAGACTCCTGGTGGGTAGAAAGTACTACAGCCCTAGAATAGTGAAAGACTAGCCCTTTCTTAGTGTTTGAAATCAGTTGAAATCAGTTTGTGCTGGACACACTTTCAAATGTGTGTGTCAAGCAATCTCCATTGAAATTCACCTCCTGAAATATTCTGGAACATTTTTAAGTGGGGTTAAATACACACTACTATTGAAGAGCTTCCAGCATTAGGTTTATCTGTATAGACATCAACAAATGCTTTCCTTGCATTCCTAGCTGTGAAAACATTGATGAGAATGCACAATTTTTTGCAGCATCCTCAGATCCAGAAGAAGTCCCAGTATATCAAATATCTCTGCTGTGATGATGTAAGAACTCTACACCAGTGGATCAATGGCATCCGCATTGCTAAGGTAACCCCTGGGCACTCTTACACTGCTGTCATGAGTAGTTGTCATCATCTGCTTAAAACCATTTACAGTTACCTAGCAAAATACAGGGTAAATTTAACTTCCCTCTGTTTACAATTCTGAACATGAACTGTAAAATCTTCTGACATTTTTCTTTCCTCAGCAAAATTATTATAGGCTTTGTTATAGTAATTCAGTAATTGGGCCTTTTCTTCTTGTTTCTGCTGCATCCCTGTCACATGACACAGTTCTGACATCATAGATGTCAGAAATATAGAAAATCATAGATTTTAGCCAGCTCTGTTCAGATTTCAGAAAAGAAGGCTTATGGGAAAAGAGAATTTAGAACATAGAGTTCATTTTCAAGACCCTCAGCTTGTCTTAGTTTATTCATTGGGCCATTTCTTGCTTGACACTGTCTCTCCTAGCACAAATAAATTGTTTTTCTTTCAGCAATTCATGAATAACATTAATATTCCTTAACATAGAGCCTGTGTTGCTTTGGGGGGACTGGCAGGAGGAACGGCATAATAGAGAAGCCAGAAGTGGAGCTCAGCGGTCTGAAAAGAGTGTACAGCCTATATAGAGTTGTTAAACTTGTTTGTGATTTTGCTTAGTACGGGAAGCAGCTATACATGAACTATCAGGAAGCATTGAAGAGAACAGAGTCAGCATATGACTGGACCTCCTTGTCTAGCTCCAGTATCAAGTCAGGCTCCAGCTCATCTAGTTTGCCAGGTAACAATGTGATCTATCTCATAATACAAAGAATCAATTGCCTTTGTTATCATCTGCTGTCTGGATGCCTCAAGAGAGACTGTTGCAGGAAATGGACTGTTTCTCCAAAGTCTTATGCTATGTTTAGTCTAAAACACAGACTTTATCTATAACATTCTGTATGTGTATATCTATGTATATATGCATACAGGTAAAAACCCATTTTGCTGTATTACTTGCAGTGATGTCTGTGTTTGAAATATGCACCAGTTTCTTGTTCACCTCCAAAAACTAATGATTTTCTTATACTGAGAGGAGGAAACATCTTTTCAAATTCCTGATGCCTCTATGTTCACCTGTTTGAAAAATCAAATTTATATCATAATGATGCATAGAACATATATATGTAGTTCTTAAACTGCTTTGTGGACTGAAATATTTGAAATTGGAAAATGAGAACCATCCCCTGCCCAAAGGCAAAGATCCAATCTCTTTAGAGAAAACTTTGAAAATACTGTTTGTTCCCATGTCAAATTGTGCATGCCTGCATTCATGTGCTCCCATTTATCTCTCTGCAGAACTGGGGCTAGTTTCTTGTTGCATGTAACAGTTTAAAAATTGACAAATAGTTTATACAGTGTAATTTCATTGTTCAGAGCTGACTGATGCTTTGGTGGATTATTCAGAACCTTCAGGGGCTATGTTCTTCATTGAAAGTTGTGCTGTTGTGTGAAGGTGTATTGTCTGCCAGAGATACAGATTGGGAAGTAATGCTACTGAATTGGACAGGTTCAGAAAGTAGCCTGTAAGAATGAGCTAAGCAAATGCAACCTAACTGGGAAGGTACCTTGTTGTTTCAACTATGTGGCAAAGCAGTAAATTCTTGGTCACTTATAATTTCTCGATCCAAGATGGGTATTTTTCTGATAAAGTGTAAATTCTTGTAGGGAGCTGAGCCACAGCTCACTAGCCAACCATGTTCTGCCAAAGTTGGATTTCAGCCTGTGCCAGGACACTTTGGGATTACACAGAAAGCAGGTGCCAGGCTGAATAAATTGGTCTGACTGTGCCTGCTGCTGTCTTGTCACCCTGTAGACCCAGAGCATCATTTATGTTGGCTACTTGCAGGATGCACACCAGCCCTTCTCTTGTGTTGAGGAATGGGTCATTGGAAGCAGTGTCCTGCCTTGGCTGGTGCAGTTTGTCTGTCCACAGCCTGTGCCCAGGGTACAATTTTAAGGTTGTGCTGGGAGGGAGTGCTGAAGAGAGCAGGCTGCATGCACTGCATGAAATGGGGCTTTTCCCAAAGTGCAGGGATGTGGCATGGCTCAGAACCCACATAAGCTGCAGTGATTTTACTTTGAAATGTATCTGACATACTCTCATCCTTGAGCAACTTCGGGTTTGGTTGATACCAGGCATCTGTTGTAATGGCCTGGATGTGAGCTAGAGCTTACACAGTTTTTACTGGGAGCAGTGGCCTCTGGGGACATGTTTAACGAAGTTGCATTGTATTGACATTACTCTTACATTCAAAAACATATGCTAACTGTTCCTTAACTTTTTTTCTGAACAGAATCTCAATCAAATCATTCTAATCAGTCTGATAGTGGAGTTTCTGACACCCAGACAGCTGGCCATGTCCGTTCCCAAAGCATTGTCAGCTCCATGTTCTCTGAGGCCTGGAAACGAGGCACTCAACTGGAGGAATCCAGCAAGGTAACAAGAAGACTTTAATTTGAGAACCAGCGCCCAACAAAATGTATGAGAGAGTGTTGTACCTCTTCCACCTCTGTCTTGAGTGGCATTTCTTCTCTGTTTTACGTGGTTAATTTACACTGCTATATAATTGTTTTTCAGGATTCACTTTTTCCAGTAATTAAGCCCTGCAGCTTTCTGTTCATTCTTTTATTTGTGTGCATAGAAGCTTTTTGTTCTTTGAAGGCATTATACAGCCCCTCTCACAGAGTCCTATTTACTAATGTTGAATGAAGACAAAATAAAAAGATAAGCTGTTAACAAGTTTAATGAAATTCTTTCACTAAGATCTTTCTCCAGTTAAGTAGCCACATCTTTCCTTTGTAAAGACGTGAATAACTGGGGCCTGAAAGCAGGTATATATGTTTTGAAATACTTCAGTAGTTTTTACTCAAAAGTGTTCTGTTAGGTGGGAATGGAACCAGTAACCTCAGATATGGTCAAAACAAAAGTACTGACATTGTCAGCAGTTTGTGGATTAAGGCAGATGAAATTAAGGCAAACTCCTGTTGGTGGTAGAGAGTTACAGAAGACTTTAACCCACTGAGGCTGGGGCTCAGGTCTGTTGTGGTTAGTTTTCTGTGTGTTGGTTAGTTTTCTGTTCTTTCTGTGGTTAACTGTTGTAGTTCCTGGGGAAAATTTCCATGCACAGGAGAAATTCTGCTGAAGCTGTTTGTTGTCAGGTTTGAAGGAATCTCCAGGTTCCTGAACAGCCTTGATGTCATTAACTGCAGCAGCTATGTGTGGAAGTGCACTATGAGAAGCTGTCATTACTTCTGTCAGTTCTGGATCTTCCCCAGACCCCAGGTTCAAGCTAGAGAAGGAAGCTTTTTAAAACCAAAACCACAGGCCAATATACCTGGCACTGGTGCTTCGGATAAATAACTAAAAATAAGATAACACATCTCCTTTTCAAATGAGAACGCGTATGAGGTGTGAAAGCTGACATGGCTGCATCCTTTGGGATTCGTAACTGTTGTTCAATGCCTGTTGGCTTGGAAGTTGTCTGATTCTAATAGTAATGTGCTACTCGGTCCAGGAATGTAGCTTGCTAAGTTGTGGTGCAAGTTTTCCTACTGCATGAGTGCAACACATGGTGCATGTCCATCAGCAGATGGCTTCTGTGTGGGCGTAGGATGCATCATTTCTGCAGGAGTGAGCTGCACGAGATGGGGCATTTGCTAGCAGGTATCCAACAGTGGTGAAAAAGTACTGCTGTAAGAATGATAATGTTACTGTTTCCTCAAGTTTTGGGTTCAGTGTAAATCCTGCTGCTACATATACTTGCTGTGAGATTTTAAGCAAAAGTTTGAAGTTCACTATCTTGGGGTTACTATTGTTCTTTATCAAGTCTGTAGTGCTACTGGCAATTGCTTATTTAAACCCCAAAAATTTTTATGCTACATGATTAAAACTATGGTAAAAATAAAATATTCACAATGCTTCCTGCATTGAGGAAGCCATACATGTATCAATATTTCATCAATTTGAATTCCCTTCTGCAAATCCAAGAAAAGGTATATTTCTTCACTTATGCATAACACAGGTAAATGGGTTGCCCTAAAACTTCCAAAGAATCCAAATGAAATTAACTGTGTAAACTTACAGAGGATGTGTTTAAACAATTGAGTTAATTTCAGTGAAACTACAGTGTAAATCTGGCCCGGGGAACTTGAATAACCAGGAAATCAGACTGGCAGTGAAAAATGTTAAACTGTGTGGCAAGAAAGGCAACAGCAGTGTTCAAGAATTGTAATTTACATGGGAAGGTGTTACCAGTGATACTGAGATGTGCTTTTAGTCAGATTACTCTCCATTTACCTCAGAGGCAGCTCTGCTACAGTGCTTTGGTGTCAAAGCTGGCTTAAGAAGTCCATGTGGGCAGGTTGCTGCCAAGTGGCAGAACTTGCCTGCATGTCCCTTCCCCTTGTGCAACAGCTCTCTCCCACCTTGGCAGCCTTGGCTCCTTCCCCTGGACAGGCAGGGCAGAGCACAGAGCATGCTGTGTCTCAACAGGCAGATGGCATTGGTGTGCTTTCCAGCCAGGGTGTTGTACTGGTGCCTCAGCAAATTAATCATGGGTGAGCTCTGCCCACTTTGCCCTCATTTACCCGTAACTTCCCAATAATTTCTTGAAGTCGAAAACATACTGAAATTGCTAGAGATCTGTCATATTTGACCTAATTTTGGTAACCAGGCCAAAAGCATGGGAAAAGAGATGGCAAACAATTCAATAGCAAAAGTTTGTTTTCTCAGGGAAAAAATAGCTAAAAAAAACACAGATTATATAAAAAGAGATACTGTTGTTTTTATAGCATTTTTTAAGAGTTCCAAATAGTCATGAAGATGCATGTCACAAATAGGAATTGCCAGTCTGCAACAAGTAATTTGACAAGATACACAGAAGGACATCACATAATTATAAGGACAAAAAAAGGACAAATGAATCTCTCTCAAGGTTCTTCTGTAAAGAAAGTGTCACAGACTACGTTTCTGGATGTTGAAATTAATTTGATTCTGTGGAGATGGGAGGGGCTCCCCCTTCTGAGGTGCCCAATAGCCTTTCGCTGTCCTGAGTGTTTAATTTGTTCACTGTGAAGATGACTGTCTTCAATGGGTATAAAATATACACCACTGTCTTTCAAATATATGTAAGATTAAGAAAAACTTTTCCCAAAATGCAGATAATCCATCTGCTTCATATTTTGAAAAATTCCTCTTTGCCCAAAGAATACTTTATTTCATTTGTTCCCAGCTGGGCAGTGAAGAGCTCATTGAGTCTCATTTGCTTGTTAGATTTTGAACACCTTATTTCAAATGTTATGCTACAAGTACCCAAATGCATGCCTGCTGTGTCTGCTTTAAGGGACAAACACAAGATTCCCCAAGGTCTTGCCATTCAGGAATAGCTATTCTGTTATGCCTTCAGCTCCCTCTCTCTCTGTTTTATGCTGCCTTTATTTTTCCTGTCGCCTTTTGCTGTCTCAGGTATCAAAAGTGAAGCTCAGCACAACTAAGGGCAGCACACCCATGGTGCCTTATACAGGGCACAATTAAGGTCAGGTGGTGCTAATTGAAAATTCATTAACCTGGGTGATTGGGAGAATGGTAATTTACAGACTAACACTTGCAAGAGATCAAGATTTCTGTTTTGTAATGTGAACACCTTGATTTAGTTCCAGACCTAATGTGACAGGCAGAGGCACACCCCATGTTTGTTGTAAAATCGCTGTTTATTGCTTCTGACTCTAATCCTTTTGATGGAGTTCTGCACACCTGTGCTTTGAACAAAGCAATATGCAAATGTGCTCTTCCCGTGCAGATGAGCATAATTGGGCTTACTTATTGCAAAGTATCTACTAATGAGGTATAGGTACCCAGTGTGGTCAGTCACTATGGTGGTGGTGTATTTCTAATGCATGTTTCTGTGCTGTGCACTGTGAAATTCACAACTTGGCTTGTAGCCAAAACACTTGTATTAGGAGGATGTTTATAAATTTGAGTAATGCAATTGTTTTTTTTAATTTTTAAGAGGAATGTAGGCTTACAGTTTTCGAGAAACAACTTAACTTGAGCACATCACAAGTAGACTAAAACACTGCCTGCTGCTTTCCCATTGATCCTTCCATTAGTCAGCTTTTCCCTGTTTTTCCTTATTTTTTCTGTTTAACATGTGAGTTGCATGTGTAACTTTCCTTTCCCAAGTTTACTTTGTTTTGCAGATGTCTAAACATTTTCTTCTGGGGAAATTTTCTAGGAAAACTTGGTTCTTCTTCTTCCTTATTTTTTCCTTGCCAGTCATGGATAGTAGAGCATGTGAAGGAAAAATAATTTCAGTGCTATTCCTGCAGAGCTTGGTCTCAATGTGTTTTAGAGCTGTTCAGGATTTCTGCATTTTGTAACACTGAACAATGTAAGGCCTGAACTAACAGATGTAAGGATTTGACATGCTCTGAGAGACTGTGTGTGGTTTGATTCCAGTCATACTGCGCTGAGATGTCTACAGAGCCTCTGGCTCTGCCTCTGTCACGGCCTGGGCTGCTCTGGGGGGCTCTGTTTGGGTCATTACACTTGCCCAAAGCAGGCTGGTAATTCTCACTGGGTCTCACTGCCTGCCCCAGGGCAGTAACAAGGCTGCTGGTGTATTTTCCCTCTGACAGCAGCTTTGCTTGGAGCAGAACTGGCTCCGCTGATTTTTGCCGGCTCTTTTCCCGGCCTGCCCCATCCCCTTGCATGGTCCCGGCTTGTCAGTGTATGGAATTGTCTCTTGCTCCAGTGTTTTGCTAATAATTCTTGCATGCTGTAATCTGCCACTTAATTTTTAATGTTGGGCACATTTAGACCTTCACTTTATAATCTCTTTGTCTCTTTCTCTCTCTCCCTCTTTCCCTCTCTCTTTTCTCCCTTTCCACTTTCACTAAAAATCCCTTCCCCATAGGCCCGAGTGGAGCCTGCAGGCCGGCCCTTCGTGTCTGTC